GGAGGGGGTGAAGGGCACACAGGTAATGGGGGAAAAAAATAAGAACCAAGATACATCAGGTAAAAGTACCCAATGATAAATGTAAACATATTGTATACCTAAAATGTACCAATAATTTTTTTTAAAAAATGATTCTTTCACTTAGTACAATGTCTTCCAGGTTTGTTCATGTCGTACCCTGTTACTTTGCCCATTAAAGCCCTCACAAGGTCTTAAGTTAGCTGCTTCCTGCCTGTCTTCAGATTGTTCTGCACCCCTCTTTATTGTATTTTATTTTTTTTGGTACCGGGGACGAAACTCAGGTCCTTGCGGTTGCGAGGCAGGTGGTGGAACTACTGAGCTAAATTCCTGGCCCTGCATCCCTCTTTATGCACACAGATTCTTGGCTACCTTTGTAGTCAGATAAAAGTGAGAAGGTGATTCAGACCAAGGAAAAACTAGACTGGACTGCCGAACATTCATTGTATTATTTCAGTACTTCGAGATAAAGCAACATAGTAAAGACCAAGGACTTTATAAATGGCCAGCTTCCAATACAATATTTGCATTTTATCCTGAGTTAAAACAGCCCTTGGATTTTCTAGGATAATCCCAGTTGCTAAACCTCTGCCCTCTGCTCCCTTTGGGCACACATGTGGGACATCACGTCCCATGGGCTGGTTTGGAAGATATCACCACATGGTTATTTTCTCCTACTCTGCAGGAGAGTGAGGAAGAACTCTACTCCTCCTGTCGCCAGCTGCGGAGACGGCAAGAAGAGCTGAACAACCAACTATTTCTGTATGACACACATCAGAACCTGCGCAATGCGAACCGGGATGCCCTTGTCAAAGAGTTCAACGTCAATGAGAACCAGCTCCAGCTGTATCAGGAGAAGTGCAATCGAAGGTAGGTTGGGCTCTCGAACTCTCTGCTGGCCATGGGACAAAATTTTAGGAAAACCTCCCGCCTACTCATGCTTTCTTTAGAAATTCTTTTGTACAGGGCCGGGGATTTAGCTCAATGGCGCCGCTGCCTGTCTTGCAACCGCAAGGACCCAAGTTTGATCCCCAGTACCAAAAAAAAGAGAAATTCTTCTGTACCTTTGATTATGGTTCTCTCTGCTCTATAAATGAACTTAACACCATTAAGCACCTTCTACTCCCTAAGTAGAACTGTCTTCTATAGAAGGACATTTCAATGTAACAGCGAAAATACATGACCATTGTTTTGTTATTGTGCTGGGGATGGAACCCAGGGCCTCATGGATGCTAGGCAAATGCTCTACCACTGCTCTACCACAGCTCTGATGACAACTGATTTTTAAGAAGTCCAACTTGAGTTCCCAAGAAGGCACTAGGCCGGTAGCAAGAGACTGGAGATCAGGGAGATCCCCTTGCCCGGGGGAGGCTCCTGGCTGTGCCAAGGCAGGTGATGGGCTAGAAGGGCAGCCAGGGATACCTCGAGTCTCACAGTATGCTGGGGAGCAGCCAAGCATCCAACCATTATCTGGGTGCAGCATTCTCTCTGTCAACAGCAGCCTCCAAGGGCAGCACTGTGCCAAGCTCCTCCCCATAGTATTTTCACTGACCTTCAGGTCAGCCTACAGAGCAGCTGCTCCCCCTTCTTAGCAACAAGTTGGTTGAACCTCTCTGAGTTGCAGTGTCTTGCCAGGAGCTCAGAGCACCTCCTCCGACTCTCAGCACCATGCCATCTGGGCATAAGTGACCCCAAATGTTCCAGGCTTCTGCACAGAGCCTGTATCGTCTGCCCTGCTGGTGATGGTGAAGTCTGCTTCATTTCAGGTTGCGAGAGAAGAGAGTCAGCAACAGCAAGTTCTACTCTTAGAAGCCAGTGTACACGTGTAAGGGTGTGGTGTGTGCGTGTGTGTTGCATGTAGAAGACTGTGCTCTGTTCGATCCCTTGAAAGAGGATGCTGTGTGACACCATCCTCTCCGTCTGCCATCAAGATGACATTTGTGAAGAAGACCAAAGGGCACAAGTTGGGTTAACTTCCTGCTAATATGTGCCCCTGGGACAATTTCTTAACTTATATTCTTTACAGAGGACTCCAAAAATGTGCTCATTTCTGGCCTCTCATGTTCCAAACTTCATTGAATAAAAACAACAAAATTCTCAATCAATTAAGGGTTTTATGCATGTCCTACATGCTGAATAGGATTTTTTTTCTGGCCAACAAGATTCTGCTAATGGCCCAGGTAATTGACTTCCACAGAAGATGAGCTGGGAATGTAAGGAACTAATTCATTCAGTTCTGAAAAAGATTTTTACTAAAAGGCAAATGACTCCAAAGTTAAGGCCTTTGGATTCCACAAGGACCCAAAAGGAAATGTGCCCCAGTCAGTGGGCTCAATTCAGTGTGCTAGCTACCACCGGCTGGCTGGACAGGCCTCCTGTGTGGACCGGCTGAGTCCACAATAAGTGGTTGGGTGATGGAATTTGATCATTAGGACAATTTTTTTGTACTGGGAATTGAACTCAGGGCTGTGCCCCAGTCAGGCAGGCACCCTGCTGCTGAGCTACACTCCTGACCCCAATTAGGACAATTTCTAATCACTGTTAGAAGCTTGCTTTGTGACTAGGATTACTGGGGCTGTGGCAGAGATCTTGGGACCTCTGTTTTAAAAGTCAGACACCAGACACTGCTGGGGGGTTGGCCAGCTTCTTGCCCCTGCTCTCCCTGCTGGAAGGCTCTGGACTCACTCTCCATGCCCAGAGCCTCACTGAGTGGCTGGGAGGGTGCTGGGAAAGCCCTGGGGTCCACAGACAAGAACTTTAAGGGGGCAGATGAAAGGTGTGTGGAGGAATCTCTCTCAGCTATGCACTATTCTGGAGGAAGGAGTCAAGGTTTAAAGCTCAGGCATTAGGGTGTTACAGCAAACCTCAAATGCAGCTGCTCCCAGAGGGGTAAACACATCCAGATCGTGACTGTACATGTGGTTGGCTGGGATTTTACACCTCTGCATTCTGAGGTATAACATCAGTGATTTAATAAAACTGTTGAGACAACAGTCTGTGGGGCACGTGGGGTCAGTAGTCACAACTGCTCAGAGAGAATCAGAAACTGACCCAGGAAAGCAGGTGTATGAGAACTGCAGATATGGTGCACAGGAACAAACTAGCAGGACATAGGTAGAAGCAGGTCCTAGAAACCATTCAGCCCCACCCCTCCCCTGGTTATCCAAATCTGGGCTTAGCATGTGTGCATTGCTGAAGAGCTGATAAGAACCAACTAGGCTCCATCTGACCTCAAAATGCCATCCCTTCATGCCACAAAATCTTGACCTTCCACATGCCAAGTACCCTGCCAAAGTCTTTGATATTGAAAAACATCCATAGTTTCTGATCTCCCAGACTATATCCACCCATAAGCTCCTACAAGACATCTACCTTCCTTAAAGCTGGGAATAAGGGATCTGGAGTCAGATCAAGGTGGGGTCACTACCTTGTGACACTGGTTGATCCTGGGTTTGGGAGCTGCTGTTTTATTCAGCAGTCAGCAACCCAGGGAAGTGGAGTCCTCACAGTAGCCAGTGTTCAAAGCAACTTTCAAGAAAGGTTGATGGGAAGGCATGGAGCTGAAGGCTGGAAGGGAGGAAGTGTCAGGTGATGGCCAGTGCCTTGTTAGCTGGTGGCCAGAGCCTACTGCTCACAGTGCCAGTCCCAGCCCCTTTCAGCTCTGTCATTACAGCTGCACACCAGAGCTCAGGGGTGCTGTCACTTCCTTTCAGCTCCTGCTTCACTCTATTTTGAAGCTGGATTGCTAAGGCCTGTACCTCTTTTGATTAAAAGAGTATTGCCACAGTATCAAAGACATTGGGTAGAAGAGGCATCCCTTCAGCTGGTTTTGTGTGCAGTCTATATGCAGCCCACCTCTGCAGAGAAGGAACAGGACAGGCAGGTGACAACAGCAGCGGGGCTGGGAAGGACCCATTTCCTCCAGTGACAATCACTGGATTCTACCACTAGACAGTATTTGCTCTGGTTCTGTCCCACCCTAGTACAGCAACACAGGAATCTGGTTCTTGGTGGTGTCGGGCCTCAGTGAATCTTCTCAGGAAAGAAGTGGATGGAATTGTGGCTTTTCCCAGGCAGAGTCTGTCAGAAGCCAGGTAACCTAACCACTCAGCTGGGATGAGCTCATGGCATGGCTGTTAAGCCACAGGCAACTCATGTCATACAGCAGGGTGGTGGGGACATCCTGAAAGATGGCAGCAACACTGGTGGAGCCAAGTCCCAACCACATGTGCATCACCTCTCCTCTGCTCACCACTGCCTCACATGCACTATTCTGGAGTATCAGTTATTACGTGGAATATAAAGCGGGGAGCCTGGAAGGTCACAGATTGGGAAACTTAACTTATACAAAGATAATTTCACCATGATGAGACTTGATATGCAGGGGTTCAGGGGGCTGTCAATGGTCACATTCCCCAAACTTGATGGCAGAATCCTGTTGTCAAGCAGTGGCTCATGTGACAGGTGGGCTGCAGAGAACACATGAGGGCCTGGTGCTCCTAAGAAGGTGGCCAGGCAACAAAACCAGTAATTCAGATGCTCTGTGACCAAGGCCAATGGCTTTTGTATTGCAAGGTGATGGCAACCCAGCTTTACCCCTGGGGTGTAGCAGAGCTTTTCAGAGCATCTCTTTTCAGATCCTCCTGTTGTTCTTGGTGTACTGTTTAATAACACTCACCTCTCTGAGGAAATGATCTTTTCTCAGCTTACAAAAGAAATACAGCTTCTCCCATCTCCTCCCTATCTATCAGAGATTATGACCCAAGGTGTAGAACTCAAAATATGGATGTTTAGAAAGTGAAAGACTAAAAAGGGTACAGATCCTTTGGAAAATCCAGTGGTTCCCAATTCTTTAATTTCACAAAATGGACAGAACACCCAGTAGATTTCTGTATTTTGACATGTACCTGTAAAGGAGTTGCAAGGACTTAGCGATACTGCACCCACAAACATTTCCACTCCCATCTCATATACGTGAATAGGGACCAGTGACCCGCTCCATGCATAAAATTTAAAAGGGAGACTAATCTGGGTATGGTGGCACACTTCTATAATCCCAGCACTCTGGAAGTGCTGCACGTTCAATCCCAGCTTGGGCCACTTACCAATTTAGCAAGACCCTGCCTCAAAATTTAAAAAGAGGCCCAGGGATGTAGCTCAGTGTGAGCTACATCTCTGGGTTTGATCACCAGTACTGGAAAACCAAACCTAAGCAGACTTGGTGCTACATCTCGTTTCATTCTGAAAATATTAACCTACAGATAGATGCAACTGGAGAGAAAAACCTTCATCACATTGATACATTTTCAATGAAGTTTTGCTATGTTTGTGTATTAAAATTTGTACTTAACTGATCAAGAAAAAAAGAAAAAAATTTTCCAGAAGAAAGTTTTAAAGGTTTAGAGTATTTTGATTATAAAATACCATGTAAATGTGTTAAAGATACAATTAAGCAATATAAAAGCCAAGAGTAGGCTAAAATTCTGAGGAAGAGGTATTAAAATGCAAATTCAAAAAGTAAAAGAGAAAGTGTGTCATTTTCTACTATGAAAAATTGTTTTGTCCTTTAATTTTTGAAAGAAGAGGTATTTATAAGTAACTTTTATATGTAGAGCCTCTTGGTTAAATTTAAAAAGAAAATAACAGTTTTATTTGAAAATGTAGTAACAATTTGTCAGCACTTACATCCTTTGCAATTATTCATGATGAGAAATTTTAGTGGTCAATTTAGAAATGTATATGGGGGGGAATGTATAAGGGGATATGATACCCAGATTTTCAAAATTCACTTAAGTATCTGAGCATAACATTTTCCGTGATTTTTTTCTTCTTTTTTTTTGGTACCGGGGATCGAACTCAGGACCTTGCACTTGCAAGGCAGGTGCCGGAACCACTGAGCTAAATCCCCAGCCTGAGCATAACATTTTAAGATTGCTGATCTAGGGCCACTTAATTATATCTAGAAGCAGAGATTGCTAAAAGGGGCTGCAATCCTTTTTACTTCAAAAGGAATGTAATTTTACTACTAACTTTTATGCCATTGTACTTTTTGGAAGCAAACCTAAAAGCTGTATTCTAGCCAACAGAAAGTTAATTCAGAAATATGCAAAATTGGCATTTTAAAAATTACTCAATGATTTGTCCTAGGGTTAATTTTCAAAAAATTACCTTGAAGAGACAAGAGTCTACAGTGATCTTATCTTAGACATTTATACATTCCTTATTTTTCACTAGGTTTTGAAAAGGTGCATCTGGAAGCTTATGTTTCATTATTAAAGTGTAATTTATTTTTCATATAAATAGTATGTACTTGTGTGTACATAGAGAATTATGTGAATGAGTCACGTGTTGGCTGCTGTTGATGTGAAAGTAAATAGCTGTATCACACTTGAAAAAATAAAAATTTGATCTGGATGAATACAGCGGTCTGCTCAGAACTTTGTTTTTAACTGCTATTCACTTTTTCTGTTCTCAAAAGAAACAAAAAGTAATTCAGCCAGGACATAGGTACAGTTATAATTCTTTTTTAAAAAAATGTTTCTGGTAGCTCAGTGGCAGAGTGCTTGCCTAGCATGCACATGGCCCAAGATGTGTACAGTATATAAAATGTGGGACATTTGTAAGGTGGAAGAATATAAGGAGGTGACACAGCACACATTCATATGATATTACAGATGCCTTATTAATATGGATACATTTGTGAAACATGGAAGAAAGAGAAAATGCCGAACAGTGCTACCCACCAATACCATTTATAAAACTTCAGATTAGGAAGACAGACTCTTTTGCTCTCTTTTTCCTGCTACTGGCCTCATTCTTGTGCATAGGACCACAGTGCGCTGCAACATTTTTATGGGAGGCACCAAAGTGACCAGGCCCAATTCCATTAAGTTGAGTAGTTCAAAGAGGTAGACACACACCAAGATGAAACAAATCCAAGAGCACATCAATGAACAGAAGAAACTAACTACAGAGATCCCACATTAGCACCTGTCTTTCCATTGTACTCCTGAAACCTCAGCACACGGGCACTGCTCACATATGTGCACACACTCCAAAACAGAAACATGAGAAAACAAGGCAACAAAATGCCTCCAAAAGCAACTTCCCAAAACATATCCAAGGGGTACTAATGAAAAGGAAATAAACCAAATGGCTGAAATATGCAAAATAACAAAAGCAAAGAAACTTTGCAAGCTCAAAGATGGTATACTAAACAGACAGTGTACCTAATAAACTGATTAGTGAGCTTAAAGATACAAATACAAAACTAGCAGAGCTAACCAAAATAATTCAAAACATGAATGACCAATTTAACAAAGAATCAGTTAAAAAAAAAAGACCTAGGTGTGATGATGCACACCTATAATCCCAGGACTCAGGAGGCTGAGACAGGAGGATCACTGCAAATTTGAGGCAGCCTGTCTGCTAGTGAGCTCGAGGCCAACCTAAAGTACACAGTGAGACCCTGTGTCAAAAACCAAACCTCCAAATTAGAGTCCATGAAAGTACCAAACAGAAATCCAGTACATAAAATTTATCAAAAGTATAGGCAGTAGAAATGACCAAAGTGAGGACAATGTCAGATCTAGAAGATAGAGACGACAGGTGATCACATAGATATGTTGTACCTTAAAAACAACAGTGAGGCATATAGAATCCCAAATAGTCATGACCAGAAAAGACTTTCCCCACAACACATCACTGTCAAAATCTTAGAAGTTCAATACAAGAATAGAATCTTAAAAGCTGTTAGAGAAAAGCAACAAATCAGTTATAAAAGTAAGCCCATAAAAGTTATAGCAGACTTCTCAACACAAACCTTAACATGTTCCTGCTGGCTTGAGCCACTGATGTTACATGCATAACTGTCTCATCAGGCAGCTTGTACCACTTCTACCACTGGTGGTACAAATGGTACCAGCAGCGAGACATACAAATTATGGCTCCGTCAGGAACATATTAAAAGCCAGGAGCATTCACAATAAAGTGCTTCATCTCCAAAAGAAAAAACTTTCAACCCAGACTAATATATCATGCAAAACTATCCTTTAAAACTGATAGAAAAATAAGGACATTCCATGACAAAAAAAATCTTAAGGAATTCACAGCAAAACCAGTACTTAAAAACATGCTCAAAAATATATTGTACACAGAAGACATGAAGCCACCAATGCCCAAAAAATCAGATGGAAAGAATACAAGTAGTTAAGCAAAAGGGAAAAAGGAATCAACAAGAGAAAAAATACAATGACAAGTGTTAAGTCAGTAATGATCTTATCTTCTATATCTGAAATTCCGTCCTCACAATGACTCATTCTGCTGCATAGACTTTCAATGGAGTTTTTAATCTCTTGGAAATCTGTTTGCATCTGTTTTATGGATTCCATTTGTTTCCTATGTTGGGATTCCATCATGTTCCTCAGATCCTCTGTTTTTCAATCTGTGTCCTCTCTAGATTTATTAATCATGTCTTGCACTATGAGCACAATCTTTGCTGTTATCTGAGTAATTATTTCTGATTTCATTTTTCCCAGATCCTCTTTTGTTGCCAGTTCAGGGAGTCCATGTGGTTGAGCATCAGATTGTTCCATCTTGTTTCCCTTTGCGGTTGCTGTAGGTGATCCGGAAGTCTGTTTTTGAGGCTTGTTTACATGTCTTCTCATTTCCACGGGGGAGAGGGGGTTTGCTGCTGGCACCCCTGCGGCTCACCTCCTCTGCCCTAGGAGTGGTGGAATGGCAGCAGGGGAGCCTCCTTCTGGGCGCTGGGACTGGCTCACCTCCTCTGCCCTAGGAGTGGTCTATCAATCTTTTTAATAATAAAATGGTATAAGCTGCCCAATAGGACAGTTATGTATATATCACTGGTGGTTGAAGCTGGCAGAAACACAACACATTCAAATTGGAGCCACCTGGCAGCAAGACACAGAAAGTACAGTCCCATAGTGAACATATGAATACCCAGCTCTCATAGATCAACAAAACAGAAAATGAAAGAAATATCAGGGGTGAACCACACTTTCATACAAGTGGACTTAATAGTTATCTTTAGGGCTGGGGATTTAGCTCAGTAGTGCCACTGCCTGCTTTGCAAGCGCAAGGTCCTGAGTTCAATCCCCAGTACCCCCCAAAAAAGTTATCTTGACTGTTCCACACTACAACAAGGAATTCATCTCACCATCACACAGAACTTTCTCCAAAATACACCACATACTAGCCCATAGAGCTTGCTTAAATACAAAAGAATCAAAATTATTTCATTGATATTATCAGATCATAGTGTAATGAAATTGGAAATCAATAGCAAAGAAGCAAGAAATCCTGCAAAAACATGGCAATTAAATAATACAATCTTGGGCCAGGGATTTAGATCAGTGGTGCCACTGCCTGCCTCGCAAGTGCAAAGTCCCGAGTTCAATCCCTGGTACCAAAAAGATAAATAAATAAAGAAAACAATTTTTTTTTCCTGGTACCAGGGATCGAGCTCGGGACCTTGCACTTGTGAGGCAGGCATGGTGCCACTGAGCTAAATCCTTGGTCCCAAATAATACAATCTTGAATAATGAGTCACAGAAGAGATCAAGGAAGAAATTAAAGTTTCTAGATTCAAATGATAATGTCATTACAACATACCAGAACTTATGAGACACAATAAAAGCAGTCCCAAAGGGGAAGTTTATTGCTATGAATGCCCACAGTACAAAAACAGAGCAAGCCCAAATAAATACCCAAATGATGCACCTGAAGATTCTAGGCAAAACAAGAACAGTCCAAATCCAAACCTAATTATAAAGATGAGAGCAGAAATTAATGAAACTGAGACAAAAAAATCAGTGAATTAAGGAGCTGGTTCTTCAAAGAATAAACAAAATAGACAAACCCTTAGACCAAATTTACCAAAAGAAAGAAGGGAAAGACCCATATCAATCCAATTAGAAATGAAAAAGGTGAGGGCCGGGGATTTAGCTCAGTGGTTTCGCTGCCTGCTGCGCAAGTGCAAGGACCCGAGTTCAATCCCCAGTACCAAAAAAAAAAAAAGTAAAAGAAATGAAAAAGGTGAAATCAAAATGCATACTGCCAAAATTCAGAAAATTCCAAAATTCTGAAGATTAGTAATTACTTTGAAAACTTGTATTCCAAATAAACTGGAGAATACTGAAGAAATGGATAGATTCCTTGACACATATGAATTATCAAAACTGAATCAAGAAAATAAAAGCTTGAACAGTCTGATAAGAGGCAACAAAATCAAGGCATTAATAAAAAAACCTACTAAGAAAAGCCGAGGACCCAATAGATTCACCACTAAATTGTATAAGAACTTCAGAGAAGATCTGATACCAATCCTCCTCAAACTCCTTAATGAAATTAAAAGGGAAGGAGTACTTCCAAACTCATTCTTACAAGTGAGCATTATCTTAATTACCAAACCGGACAAAGACTTAATTAAAGCCGGGTGTGGTGGTGCATGCCTGTAATCCCAGCACTCGGGACGCAGAGGAAGGAGGATAGCCTTGAGTTTGAGGCTAGCCTGGGCTACATACAATTACAAAGTGAGACCCTGACTCAAAAAAATAAAATACAAAAAAAAGACAACTGAAAAAGAATACTACAGGCCAATCTCTTTTAACACATTTCTGCTGGCTTGATCTTGATCCACCAATAATACATGCATGACTGTCCCATTGGGCAGTTTGTACTACTGGTGGTTTAAGTGGTACAGCCATGCATGGGACAGTCATACATGTTCCACTGGTGCTTCAAAGCACATAGCAGCAAGACATACGAACACTGGCTCCATCATGAATATGTTAAAGAATATAGATGAAGAAATCCTCAACAAGATAATGGCAAACAATGTAACAAATCAGTAAAAAGATCATACATCATGACCAAGTAGCTTCATCCCAGGGATGCAAGGATGGTTTAACATATACAAATCAATACATCACATAAGCAGAAGCAAGCACAAAAGCACATGATCATCTCAGACACATAAAAAAATGACAAAATCCAACATCCACTCATGACAAAAATAGAAGAAAATAGGTACAGAAGGACTTCATCTCAATCTGACAAAAGCCATTTATGACAAACCTCCTGCCAACATCATATTAAGTGGGGGATAAACTGAAAGCTTTTCTTATAAAATCAGGAAAAAAGATGTTCACTATCACTACTCCAGTTCAATATATTACTTGAAACTTTAGCCAGAGCAATCAAGCAAAAGAAAGAAGTAAAAGGGATACATATAGGAAAGGAAGAAGTCAAATTATCATTATTGGGCCAGAGATTTACCTCAGTGGTTCTGCCCCTAACCCTAACCCTAAATGTATACACTATATTAACAGAGTCAAGGACAAAAACCATATGATCATCTCAATAGATGCAGAAAAAGCATTCG